ACACAAACAAACCAATGCTTATTATTGGTTTTATTACTGCATTTGACGTAGCGTTGACGCCTTTGTTTAGGCATGACACTTCGGCATTAACGCTCCGCCCAACACTTTTGTTTAGGTAAGGCAGTATCAGATTTTTTTTTTTTTTTTTTTTTAGGAGAGCAACTTTTCTCCTTGTTTTCATAATTGTTTCCACGAGTGGCGGAAAAGAGGGCAAATATTTATAATAATCGAGTAAGTTTATAATAATCGAGTAAGGCTGACTCTCTTCGTCGGTCGCCCGTTATCCGAAGTACTCCGTCCCGACTGGGACCTTTAAGTAAAAAAGAAAATCGGTTTAGGTATTAATTTTCGGTGAGTTGAAAGTAGGTACATAGCTTAGATAAAAAAGAATTCTTTAAAAAAGCTTGTCATTCAATAGGATTAAAAAAAAAAAAACTAAAAACCCAGAGCTCTACTTTCGCATTCATGTTACGATAAGTACAACTTCATTGTCAAAAGTTCGACTTCTAGTGGGCACGGGTTACAGTCGTCCTACAGCGGTACAACTTTATGTATACGTTGACTAGAAAAATTAAAGGGGTTCATCTTTAACAAAAAATAAATAATAAAAATAAATAAAAAATTGGGACACCATAAAAAATACTTTAGTATCTATTAGTTTGCATTTAATCCGGTTAAAGAGAAGAATTTATCAAATTTATTCGAGTCCTCTTTCCGGCTGTCGGAGTCACTGTGCACATTCGCCACTTTCGAAGCCGAATATGCCCCGACGCATACAGATTAAACATACTCGCATGCCCATTAGATTTTCCGTTTGTAAGCAGATAAAAAAAGCACCATCAATATGCTGTACGTTTGCAATTCTACATTTCTCTGTTAAATCTCTCCAATCTCTACGGGGGTTGTTTCACTGCCATTTCGTTTCCCATTATGTTGCAAGTGATTTTTCAGAACTCGCTTTGTGGCATGGCGAGGCGAAAACGGATACAAGCAATACGAATCAGCATTTAATACTCGAAGAGTGTGAGTAGGGTTTGCTGCCACCCTGCTGCCATGTGCCAGTGACGATTTTTCCAGTTCGCACAGCATCCATCCCCCAGATATGTTGTGAACCGGATTGAATTGAATCAAGCCGCATGAATTCGACGAGCATTTGTGTGTGTGTGGCTATGGGCTCAGGTGAGGGCGCCCGTGTGTATGTGTGTGTGTGTGCGTGTGCTTGTGAGCCGCTTCACGAGATGAAGAAGGGGCGCATATATTTCTGTGCTATGCGTAATTTTCAGTTGTCGTGTAGATTCGGTGAAAGCAAGTCGACTCGTTGGCACACATAGATTAATCGAAGAGAAAAAAGTATTTTTTTTTTGCATTCAAAAGTGATTAATTTGATTTTTTGGTGAAGTGCATGCTTCTTCAGCACTAGAAGTGGGAGTGGTCGCACTTCTCCAGATGCTGTGAACTATTGCACCCACAACTAACTGCTATACTACTTGGCTCATCCCGTAGAAAAGTGTGGATCAAAATGATTTCGAAAAGTAGAAAAAGTAAAAATGGAAAAAACAAGGCCTCTTTAAAAATCGATTTCATTTTCTTTGTTTCATTTGCAGCCATTTTTGAATGATTTATGTACAGTGGAAAAATGTGTATATTCTTTTTGCAGAAATCTATATTCTTGTCTATAAAACTGTGTACTTTTTCTAAGTGGCAGCAAAAAATTAATTTTCTCCGCCCTTTTTTTAATTCAAGTGACCGAAGAATATCGATTTTGCCTTATTCTTTTCATTCTTCCAATCGTTTTTAGTAATTTGCTCTACATGTTTTCCTTGACTTGCTGCTAACGCTTTGGGCTTGGCCCGGCCACCAGATAGCCACACGGTCATTTAAATTATTTGTTCACACCGTACTCTTTTATCTCGGCTTTCAGTTGTAATAAAAGAAAATAAACACTCTGAATTTATAATTTTTTAGAAAGCCAACTAATGACATTGCCTCTGGGCTATCTACATACATACACACATACATACACATGCAGAACCCGAAACCGAAAAATTGCCTAGCTGGCAAAGTGTTGCCTGCGCGCCCCTCTTCCATTCAAGAGTTTCACTTCCAGTATAAATACTTAGAAAAATATTGAATTAGAAAAGTGCTTGAATTGAAAATTGAGGCCTCTAAAGAGGGTTGTGCGGATTCGTGGGTAGAGAGCGTAGTACCTACATGCATATACATACATATGTATATCAAATGAGAGGACATTGTAGCAAAATGCTCATCTCAAAGTGTGGAAAAGTAATCGAGGGGGTTGCTGGCGACTTGCCAACAACATTCGACTGTGGATGGGTTGGAATAAAAACTGTGGAAAAAAACCAAATTCGCAGGTTAAGTCAGCGCGGCATGCAAAAGATGGCTAAATGATTTGCGTTCAATGAAACTATTGTGTTTCTTAACACTACAGTTCGGTTCGCGATTGTGAATGTCTATCCATGAACCAATTCAAATGGTAGATATTTGATCTTCAAGAAGTTTGTGCAGTTTTATGGATGATGATGAGGGGATGTATGAATGTACAGTGTAGAGCAAAAAAAATGTGCAAGTGGAATAATTTAAATTTCGTAGCACATACATTTTTTCGCTAACATCTATGTAGGTGACTTTGACGTTTCTGGTTATGCGCTGGACTTAGTCCTCGCCACATAAAACTCATTTCCAATGAAATTAATTGTCAGTATTTGGCACATCAGTATTTTCCACTTTATTCCACTCGACCCACGATTTTAGAATCATTGTCGTATGGTTCGGGTCATTGTCTTTTTGCAAGACCAATTTTATTAGATTTTCCCACGGTAGCATTATGTATTCCAATTTTATTTTTGGGTTCAGCCTAGAAGGGGCTTGAATAACTAGTTTTAACATATGCATATATATGTTACTGAAGTAGTTAAGTTCCTAAAACAAGCAATAACACGAATTTTTTTTATAAAAAAGAAAATGGGTACGCAGGAGGAAAAAAATCTCAGGCTGTGTTCCATTTGCCAATGTTTTGTCCAACACTGTATGTGGGGGCTTTTACTGCGAGCACTAGTTGTCAAAAAAAAGTGCTCAACCTATGCCTAGAAAATACATTAGGGTGATCCAAAATAACTAACCTAACCTATTTATGGCCTTAAAAGAACTTATTTGCTGAGAAGAAAATTCTCCCATTTGGTATCGTTTGGCATTTGAAATTTTCCATTTAAATAACATGTAAACAAATTTTTTCCATTAAAAATGTTATAACTATTGAACTTTATTATGTAGATAAGATTTTTTTCCAGGCATATTCTAATAGGACGTTAAATTCTCTAAAAAAATTACCTTGAAGTCCTTGTCCAAGTTTTAACCAATATGAAACAAAGCGGCAAACCTTATATACAATTTAGAAAAATTCAACAGATCTTTAGAAACTTTTTGGGTATGCAGTTGTATAGCCCATACCATTTTAGTCAAATGAAGTGCAAGTTTCGAGTAATAGTCAATAAATAAATACATACTATACCAAGAAAAAACATTAGATTTTTTATAATTTTTTGATTACAGCTTTTGCGATTTTTTTTTTTTTTATATAGGGTGATCCATCTAGACCTTGTTTTTTTTTTAAATAAAACACTAAAGCAGAACTGAATGTCGGAATCCTAATCATTACCCGAAAGAACTATCTCTGAAATTTACTTTTCAAAAAAAAAAATCATTCATTCAAAATGGACCACCTACAGCATAGTCGCGGTCAACATTTTTGAATGAAATTATTTTTAAAAAGTAAATGTCAGAGAATGTTGCTTCGGGTAATAATAAAAAAAAACAAGGTCTAGATGGATCACCCTATAAAACAAGTGGAGTTCATAAAAACTTGCTTTGATTTTTTGAAATTTCGTTACGAACGTTCTTCCGCATTTTATTTCGTAAGAAATGCATGTCTACATGGAAATCAGGGATCGAACACAGGTCCTACGGAATGGTAGACGCAGCGCCCACATATTCCACACATATTCCAATGCTAATCCATAAAAAATGCGTTCCCTCAAACCATACACAGTGGTGGAAAAATAGATAGGGACACGACATTTTAACACATTTTTCCTATTTTGCTTTAATTTATTTAATATTTATTATTTTTTATAAAATCATAGCTCCATTATCTAACTAAAACCATTTAAGTTCTTATTCCAAACTTCGTGCAAAAATTATAAAAATTCTGAAAAATTACACCTAAATTTTAAACTTTTTAATCTGATTTTTTTTTTAATATGCAGTTCTATAGTCAATTTTAAAATAGTAAATTTTAGTGCGAATAAAGTTTGAAGCTCCTAAAAAATCACGCTGATTTTTGTTAATTTTTATTCTGAATGTATTAAGCACTTTTTTCATACAAAAAACATTTTCGAACTTACCTTTTATGGAAGAAAATGCGTTAAAAAAATTTTGCCAAAAATCAACGCGATTTTTTAGCAACTTAAAACTTACACTTCATTGTACTAAAATTTAATGGGCTATAAAACTGCATACTCAGAAAATTCTCACAAATCTGATTAAAAAGTTGAAAGTTTAGATTTAATTCTGCTTATGAAATTTAATTGAGTTTAAGCTAGTATTGTATAACCGATCGCTTGGCATACTTTTAATTTTAGTAATATCTAAATCTGCAAGTCTTTCTATGGCAACTGCATTACGTCGCCCACTGTACACATGTACGTATGTATGTATGAACTTAGACGTTAGTACAATAGGGGAGGGTTCGCTCTACCCACAATTCCTTATCTTAAGCCGTCGTCTACATTCTCTCTTTTGGCTCATACTATAAATAATTTGGGGTGGATACTGTCTCGGGAATTCAATGAGATTCCCCATTGAGGAATGGGGACACTAACCTCACCGCAGCGCATAATAAATATATAGTACATAAAAATGAACTTACTCCGCTGGTATCACTCAATTAATTTCTTCTTCTGCTCTTGCTCTCTCTTCCACAGTGCCTTTTACAACTAAGTCTTTAATTTTATTATTATCGAAAAACGCAAAAATCAACATCACTTACAACAAAAACAACAACAACATTCACATCCATTCGCACAGAAGAAGAAGAAGAATCCGAAGCAGAAGCAGAAGCGACGACAGTGACAGCGCTAAAAGCAAAAATGTCAACATTATCGTTGCGCATCCAGTTGGAGGGTGGCCGCGTCACAAAGACAATTCAATTTCATCCAAATACAACAGTATTTGATGCTTGCAAAATCATTCGGGATAAGTTCGCCGAAGCAGTACAGGGACAACGTAAGTGCATACATACAAATGAACATACACACACATACATATGTATATATAGATTCATAAACGCATATACAAAACCACCACCACCCACCCACCCACTCACTCACATACATCGTATTCATTATACTCGTTTCTACGCTCTATTTTCTGTTGCTGACTCCGTTCACACAATTTTATGCTTCATCATTTTTTGTTTGTTCGTTGTTTTTTCCTTGCTCGCTCGCCACAGCCAGCGAATATGGTCTATTTATATCGGACGAGCAGCACCAACAGGGCGTTTGGCTGGAAGCCGGCCGCACGCTCGGCTATTACATACTCCATAATCAGGACACCCTAGAGTATCGACGCAAGCTACGCACATTGCGCGTTCGTATGCTGGATGGCGCCGTAAAGACGATACTCGTCGACGACTCACAGCCGGTGTCGCAGCTAATGGTGGTCATTTGCACTAAGATCGGCATTACCAATCATGAGGAGTATGGCTTGGTGCGCGAGGACACCGAGGCGCAGAATGAAAACTTGCCGGACAATAAGTTTGGCACACTGACGTTGCGCCGCAAATTCACCGAAAAGGATCGCGATGCAAAGATGGAGAGTTTACGTAGAAAGCTGAAGACCGACGATGAAAGTGAGTATCAAACACAAAAACAAAATTCCAAGCGCGTCTGAATACTAACTAACAGATGTTTTAAAAACTTAGTTAATTGGGTGGATGTCGGCAAGACGCTGCGCGAACAGGGCATCGACGAATCGGAAACTGTTTTGCTGCGTCGTCGCTTCTTCTTCTCGGATCAAAATATTGATTCACGTGACCCGGTACAATTGAATTTGCTGTACGTGCAGGCACGTGACGCCATCCTAGATGGCACACATCCAGTAACACAGGAGAAAGGTACGTGACGCTTTTATTTCTATGTTTGTTTTGCGTGTTTTGACTTTTTTCCGTTTTCTTTTTTTTTTTGCAAATCAGCATGTGAATTCGCTGGCATCCAAGTGCATATACAATTCGGGCCACACAACGAAGCGAAGCATAAGCCTGGATTTTTAGAGTAAGTTTATTGTTTGCTTGTCCGGAACATTTGTGTGTGCGAACACCATCTATTTGCATTTTTTTACTCCTCCCCAGTTTAAAGGACTTCTTGCCGCAGTCGTATGTTCGTGTGAAGAACATAGAAAAGAAAATATTTGCTGAGCACAAGAAACACGTCGCTCTTACAGAAATCGACGCCAAGGTGTTGTACACGAAAACGGCACGTGAGCTGCCTACCTATGGTGTCACTTTCTTCTTGGTGAAGGAGAAAATGAATGGACGCAATAAGTTGGTGCCGCGTCTATTAGGTGTGACCAAGGATTCGGTGTTGCGTCTGGATGAGCGCACCAAGGAAATTCTGGTATCGTGGCCGTTGACAACAGTGCGCCGTTGGGGCGCTTCGCCGAATACCTTCACTTTGGATTTCGGTGATTATGCCAATCAGTACTACTCGGTGCAGACGACTGAGGCTGAGCAGATTGTACAGCTGATAGCTGGTTATATTGATATTATTTTGAAGAAGAAGCAGACCAAGGATCATTTTGGCATCGAGGGCGACGAGGGCTCCACTATGGTGGAAGAGTCAGTTGCGCCCTCAAAGTAAGTACCTATACAGGTTGAGCAGATTGATAAAAAATGTAAAAAAAAAAAATTATAATAATTTGCAGAGCAACATTTTTGCAACATGAAACGAATAAAATTGGTAAAATTAACACCGAATCACTGGCACATCCAGAAATTCTACGTGCGTCAGATGGTGAGTTGCGAGTGTACATAGCTGTTTTTTTTCGCTAAATGCTTCCATTTAATTGTTTATAATTTTTGTCGCTTAATATTTTTATATTTTCATTTTGTATCTTTGTATATATTTTTCGCACGAATTATGTCTACAATGCACAAATATTTAAAATAGGCGAAAGAAAATACACCCAAGGCGAGGTACAAACAGTTCAATATGGAGCCTTCGTTGGGCAAGTTAACCACGCCCATCAACCGCCAACGGTAAGTAGATAAATAGAGTCCACAAAGAGTATTTTTTTATATTTTTATTTTAAAGTGAAACTTCTTATGCGGAGGTAGTGAATTAAATAATTGTCGTCTTCCTTCCCTCTCTTGTCGCCTATACTCTGAATATTGAGAGTGAATTTTTGAAACGTGTTACTACGCAGCGGTTCATGGTTTAAACTGAGAAAATACGATTACCGTATAGTTCGATTCTATAATTTCAAACTAATAAAATATTCCCAATCGCATAGTCATAAAATCAGGACGTAAAATACAACTTTCTGCAGTACAAAACGAATCGAGAGAAGTTTCACTGCCGCGCCCAGGCGCGCTCATTTTTGTTTTATTTGCAACTTTTGTCTGTTCTGCCATAAGCTTTATGTATGTATATAGACATGCCATTACATGGTGATATCAACTCATTATGAAATTCTAATAAAAAACTCATTTCATTCCGTTTATGCTGCACTCGAAAAGGTCAAACAAAATTGTATAAAGTAGGTCTCATTTAACCCCTTTCTATAGTTTGAAACATATATTTTTAGTTAGAAATTCGCTAACTTATCATCCGTCCCATTTTTAGACGAAGGAAGTGCGCATAAGCACAGTGAACCTGACAGAACCGCAGCGCGCACTACTTGGTTACATCTCGGCCGGTCAGGACGTTTTAATGCGCGCTGATGAAGAGCTAAGAACAAAGGTGAGTACGAGTTAGGTGGCAGCCTCTTCTAATGGCGCATAAAACCATCCGTTTGTTCCCGCTTTAGGCTCCCATACAAGAATTGGGCACCGACTTGAGATCAATCGAGTGGCGTGAGAATACGTTGGATACTTCCAAGCAGGCTGTTACTAGTCACGTTGCCACTATGAACGCGGCTACCGCACAAATAATTACGGCTTCCCAACTGGACGAAGTCGACACGGAGGCCATTTCCGCCTCCGTTTCGCAGATAACTCAGACAATTCCGGAGGTTACTAAGGAGGTGCGTTTAATCGCTGCTCTCATGGAGGACAGCAACAATGGCGATCGATTGCTTGATGCAGCTCGCAATCTATGCAATGCTTTCAGCGATTTGCTGAAGGCCGCTGAACCGGAGAGCAAAGAACCAACGCAGAGTCTGATCAATGCCGCTAGCCGCGTCGGCGAAGCAACCACGCATGTGCTCAGCACCATAGCTGAGGAAGAAGTGCCTGAGAATAGTGATTTGCATGATATGCTGCTGACGCTTGCCAAGGCAGTGGCCAACACCACCGCCGCTTTGATGTTGCGGGCCAAATCGATCGCTGCAAGTTGTGAGGACGAGGAATCACGGAATCGCGTTATCGGCGCTGCCAGCCAATGTGCGCTGGCCACCAGCCAGCTCGTCGCGTGTGCAAAAGTTGTCGCTCCTACGTTGCATAACGCTGCTTGTCGAGAGCAGCTTGAGGCCGCGGCACGCAATGTGGCGCGCGCCGTCAACAATCTGTGCGAGGTGTGCAACGAGGCCACCAATGATCCGAAACTGAAGAACGATCTGCTTGCTGCTGCGCGTGATGTTTCGAAGAGTTTAAGCGACATGTTGGACCACGTAAAGTTGAGCTCGCGCGAATACGCCAGTCGCACCAGTCAAGAGATGAGCCCAGTGGAAAATGTGATCATCGGCACTGACATTTTGGTAGCATCCAATGATCCACAAGAGATGGTTCGACATGCAAAAACACTGGGCCAGGCCACAGCACAATTGATACAGAGCATCAAGGGCGAGGCAGATCAGCAGAAGGACGAGGACATGCAACGTCGATTGCTTTCGGCTGCCAAGCAACTAGCCGACGCTACGGCAAAACTTGTCGAAGCCGCGCGCCTCTGCTCGGGTAATCCACAAAATACCGAAAACCAAAACGCGTTACGACGCGCTGCAGAAGAGCTACGTGAAATCACAACTACAACAGCCAATACGCCGGCCATCAAACGAAATCTTATACATCGGTTGGAGTACTGCTCCAAGCAGGCTGCTTCGGCTGCTACTCAGTGCATTTCGGCGGCACAGAACGCGGTGCAGCATAGCGACGACCACCAAACCAAGGAGCAACTGCTGCAGGACTGTAAGCGCGCAGCCGACACGATTCCACGACTCGTGACATCGGTGAAGACAACTCGTTCCAACCCGGATGATCCAAATGCGCAGCTGAATCTGATAGAAGCTGCCGAGCAATTCATTGAACCGGCCATTCAAGTATCGCGATCTGCGCGTGCTCTACAGCCTACAGTTACCGACATACCGTCGGCCACTCAACTTTCGAAGAGTGCATTATACCTTGGTCAAACTGTGTCCGAGTTGAACTCGGCGGCACAGCGTGCGCGTGAAGCCTGTGGCGGCCAAGAACTCGAATCTGCTTTGGAGGCGGTACGCAATTTGCACAACGTTTTGGATGACACTCGCAAGGCAGCTCAGTCAGGCAATATTCGTCCGCTTCCTGGCGAGACTGTCGAGAATACTGCCCAGCAATTGCGTGTATCTGCCAAAAATGTGGGCATTGCGCTCAGACAACTTTTGTCCTCAGTTATACAAGAGCAACGCCGATATGCAGGCGTGGCTGGACGCGATACTGCATTGGCGCTCGGTGATTTCACAAAGAGTGTACATGGTGTAGCTGCAACCACGAAGAATCCAGTCGTAATTGACTGCGCCGACGAAGTAGTGTTACATTCTGCACGGCTGATTGAGGAAGCACAGCGCACGCTGCAAAATGTCGGCAGCACCGACGCATTGACCCAGGCTGGTCGCGATGTTACAGTCGCGCTTTCGAAGACTGTCGACTGCATACCGGGTCAGCGCGAAGTGGACAACGCCCTGCGCAATGTGAGCGAATTAAGTGAGATACTCTCGATGAGTGAATTCCCACCAACGGATCGTAACTACAACACGTTGCAAACAGAACTGAAGCAGGTGGCAGAGGGACTCAGTGTAGCCGGCGGGCAAATCGTGCAAGCGTACAATAGTCCCGCGCAGCTGGCAGAAAGTAGCCAAAACTTCGCCGGAAATTACCGTGATCTACTAGCTGTCTCAATGGAGATGGCTGGCCAGACGCAGGATGAGGTAGTGCGCTCCGAAATGATTGATCGCCTGCGCAATGTCTCTACGCAATCTTGTTCTCTGTTATCTACAGCCAAGTCCATTGCTGCTGACCCGGGCCAACCGAATGCCAAGAATCTTTTGCACGCAGCAGCTCGAAGTGTCACCGAAAGCATAAATAAACTGGTCGACGCCAGTATACAGTCTGCGCCGGGACAAAAGGAGTGCGACAATGCAATGCGCAATATTGAGGCGCTCCGCGTGATGCTCGACTATCCGCACGAGCCCATTAACGAACAGGGCTACTTCGAATGTGTTGAAAATGCGACAAATAAGTCACGCAACCTGGGTTATGCCATTTCGGAAATGATTAACAATGCCAAGCAATCAAATCACGTTGGCTTTGGTCAGTCGGTGAACACTGTCGCGGAGTCCATACACAGCTTGATAGAATCTTCAGCGCAAGCAGCCTACTTGATAGGCGTTTCGCACCCCAGCAGTGTAGCTGGGCGGCCGGGCATCATCGATCAGGCGCAATTATCCTGGGCGTATCAGGGTATTCGCCAGCACTGTGACATCGTTAGCAGCGGCAAGTCCACGAAGCAGCAAAAGATATCTGCACTAACGGTAATCGCCAAGCACACCAGTTATTTGTGCTCCATATGTCGTCAAGCCAGCATGAATACCAACAATCCGGTGGCGAAGAACGAATTCATTGTGTTGGCCAAGCAAGTTGCCACCGCCACGTCTAACTTGGTGCAGGAAATAAAGAGCATTGAGGATGAGCCTTCGACTCCGACACGCGCTCGTCTCGTGGAGCCATTGCTAGAATCTGTGAAAGCCGTTCGGCAATATGCTTCCAGCCCGGAATTCATCTCTGTGCCGGCGAAAATTTCCGCTGAGGGACGCAAGGCTCAAGAACCAGTCATTAACGCAGGACGCGGTGTTATCGATGGTGTCATCGAAATGGTGAAGGCTGCTAAGTCATTGGCACTCTCACCCGACGATCCGCCAGTGTGGCAACAGCTCTCAAATGCTTCAGCTCCCGTTTCCGAATCGGTAAAGCGTTTGGTAGACAACATCCGCGAAAAGGCACCCGGTCAGGCGCAATGTGAGCAAGTCTTGCACACACTGAATACGTGCACCCGTGAATTGGACAGCTGTGCCATGGCGGTGAGCGCTCAGGGATTGAGTCAACGCCGCGACAATAATCTGCACGGATTCAGTGGCCAGACATTGAACTCTGCCGCTGAGCTAATTGACAAGCTTGAGCCCATACGCATGGCTGGCAAAAACAATGCAGAACAACTCGGCCATGCTGTCGGCGAGATCTCGCGCTATATTGTGCCAATGGTGAATGGTGCGATTGGTGCTTGCACCCACATCGTCCACACCAATCAGCAAATGAGCCTCATCAACCAAACAAAGTCGGTTGTGGAGAGCGCTGTAACGCTTGTACAAGCAGCCAAGGACTCCGCCGGCAATCCGCGCTCTACGCACGCCCATTCGCACTTGGACGAGTCCATCGATTACACGCGTCAAGCCATACAGGAACTTACGGAAACAGTCGAAAAGATCAACGCCGAAATGGGTGTGGTAACTGGTCTGATGGAGCAAGTGAATCGTGCCATTACGCGCCTGACCGACAAGCGTCAATCGCTGCTCAACGCCTCGTACTCGGACTCATTTGTCGATTACCAAACACGCATGGTGCAGTCAGCCAAGGAGATCGCCCGCCTGGCCAACGAGATGAACGCCAAAGCAACCATTGAACCCCAGCTACTGCCGCAACTTGCCTTGGAGATGACGCAGCATTACACGCAAATCACACAGGATTCGGTAGGTGCATCCACCACAACATCGACACCGGATGTAGCCATGCGCATTCGCTCGACCGTCGTTGATTTGGGTGGGTCGGTGAGCTCCATGATACAATCTGGTGCTGCTGGCGCCCGCCCCAATGACACCTCCACCCAGCATGAAATCTCTCGCAATGCACGCGACGTCTCTGAGAAGGTAGCACAAGTTTTGGCTGCGCTGCAAGC